TCGAACCCTGAAACAACCTCTGGGCTGATCTAAGTCAGGGCATGGCTAACTCACAGACCAAACCCTAAACAACCTCTGAGCTGATCAAAGTCAGAGTATGACTAACTTGTAGATCAAATTGTAATTTAGCTGGTTAGGCTTTGCAGAAGGAGGACAACTAGAGAACTCAGAGTAAAACAGCTAGATCAAGGGATCGAAAAAACTCTTCTCACATGTGATAGTGATTCCAGGAATCAAAACCAAATACCCCAATGCGAGAGGCAAGTGCTCTACTGCTTTGATTACCTTTCATCACCTCCCATGCATCGTCATCACAATGTTCTCCACTCGTTCTCATTTGAAACAAATCAAATTCCTGTCGGCTAAGGAAACCATTACTGTCCAAGTCAGACCGTGTGAATATTTCAGTTAATGCAGTCCTGTTGAAGAAACAGTTTCATAGATGACCACTCCAAAATGAAAATTAAGTTGAAGTTTGACAATGGATTTATAGCCAGGAGGGCTTATAATCAGGGTGGGGAGGGGGGATGGGGGGCTGGTAACTGTGAGGAAAAAAGTTTGGAATGAAAAGGAAGCAGATATTTATTACTCTTATGTTCTCAGTTCATGAAATGCTTTATTGACAACTTAAACACAAGATTTTACAGTTGGGCTTAAAATGAAGGGGGGGGGGGGTATACAACTTGACTGAGTGAGTCTCACAGAGGTCAGCTTGGAGCAAGTCTACCTTACCCTGGGATAATGATAATAATAATAATAATAATAATAATAATATATATGGCTTATATAGCGCTTATAAAAGTCTGTTCTAAGTGCTTGATACCCATCAAATGGTGTGGTTCATGTTTTTATGAGCCGTACCTGAAGGTTTGTGTAAGTTTCATGTGATCTCCTGTTCCTTGAGTCAGTTTAGCAGTCTTTGCTGGCTCAAATGTACGAGCTGTCAGGCGACACCCAGTCGTAAATGTCAGTAAGTGGTAACTTCCTCTGTGTAAGTGACACTGTAAGCAATATTTCTATGAAATAATATAAAGAACTGGATTAGTTTAATTATTTAGGCTGATATAATGCAGTATTTGGTTTTGTGCAAATGAAACTGTATGACCATCATCACCCCCACCATCATCATGATTATCATCATCATCATCAACATCATCACTATCGTCATTATCATCACCACCATTAACATCTCAGCCATAATCATCATTACCCCAACCTGCAACATCATGATCATCAMCATCATCAACATCATCAAGACTGCCATTGCAATCATCATCATTATCACTGCCATCACCATTACTACAATGATTGTCATCATTCCCCCAACCACCAACATCATCACCACCACCACCACCACCACCATAACCATCATCATTATCATCAACATCACTACAATGATTGTCATCATTCCCCCAACCAGCAACATCATAATCATCACCACCACCATCATCATCATTGTCACCATCATCATTATCATCAACATCACTGCCATTGTTAACATTACCCCAACCAGCAACTTCATCATCATATTCACCACCCGCGTTATTATCATCAACATCACTGCCACTGTTATCATTACCCCAACCAGCAACATCATCATTATGGTCAGCACCACCATCACCATTATCACCACCACATCATCATCGTCATTGCCATTGTCATCATTATCCCAACCAGCACCTTCATCAACATCATCACCACCCTCATTATCATCATCAATGTCACTGCCATTGTTATCATTACCCCAACCAGCAACATTATCATCATCACTATCACCACCCTCATTATCATCATCAACATCACTGCCATTGTTATCATCATCCCAACCAGCAGCATCATCATTATGGTCAGTACCACCATCACCATTATCACCACCACATCATCATCGTCATTGTCATTGCCATTGTCATCATTACTACAACCAGAACATCATTATCACCTCATATCAAAGTTTTATACAATAACTATTATCTGAAAATGGATTTGTTTGGTATTTTAATATCTGAATCAGTCAAATACCTACCAAACCAAGTTTAGCTGAGGTAAATGCTACAAGTTCTCCTGACCTGTCATCCATGATGAACAACTCAGTATCAATCAATCGTAAATCAGAAGTGGCTGGTGATTGAAACACAATTACACAATTATTGAACAATTAAAGCAACTGACTTGTGTGTCTCAAGGTCTCCCTGAGCTAGATCAATGAATGAAAAGCTAATGTCACAATGTATGATTTGCAAAAGGGTACTGCTTATATAATAATATATAAGAATATTAAAATATGAGAGGTTAGGAAATCATATGCTAAAAATGCAACATCCATTGTTACCCGAACATTAGTCAGAAAACAATTTTTTAAGATACTTTTTCAAAATATTTCAAAATTGAGTTCATTTTCATGCTACGCCTTAGAGTAAGGGCCACCCCTGCCATGCTAGTCAGAGGGGTAGAGACCAGGTGAAACCAACCAGACTAAGCATGATCCATTGGTCCACCTATTGGGGGTTTGGCACAGGGATCAACCCTCAGTAAACCTCCTTCCCCAATGAATCTCCRCCCTTGATTAAGTGCCGCATATGAAAGCAAAAAATTAAAGAGGTTAGCTCTGCAATCATTCACAGCAATGTGATGCTTAATCAAGCATCATCAGCCTGCATTAAATAAAGTCTACATTTTACATAATAATTTATAATATAATAATAATATAATAATAATTTATGTGATTTTTATCAAATATTTCCAAAGGGATCCTTCGTTGATTCTCAGCACAAAACTCCTGCATTTTCCCTTCATGACAAATCAAGTTTCCTTGAGTTAAACAAGTACACTTTCCCTCACAAAAAGAAGTATTTTCCTTATGACACAATACTTGCCTGATCGTGAAGGAATCGGTTGTATTGTCAACCATATTTGTGTTTCTTTTGGAATTAACAGTTTAAAATGATGACTGACAATGGATCCTTCTTCATCTACAAAGAAGCTGCCCTTACTTTGCACATTTGACCACATCTATGGATTTGATTTAATAGGGGGAAAGGTGTTTTCAATAATGATAGTCATCAGCATTTTCATCAATATCATCAYTGATCATCATCATCATTGGCATGATCACTCATCATCATCATTATCACCATCCATCATCATCTCATCATCATGCACAGCATGATCATGATCATAACTACCATCATCATTATCATCAACATCATCACCCATCATCATCATAATCATTATCATACATAGCATGAACATGGTCATGACATGGCAAGGCATTCACCAGACCAATCACATTGCATGA